CATGTACATTTTTTAGTTAATTTCATTTTCCGGGAATCTATACCTGTCATTGTCCTGAGCTTTTTTTCAACTCTAAATTGAAGAAAATGTTTAGTTATGCAAACTGTTTTTCCATAGAAATGCAAATGAACTGTGAATCGAATGCAAGTTATTGTCATCTTGTGGGAAAGAGCCAGTCTTGTTTCTATTTACACATTTGCTCTACATTCCTGTTGCCCAGGCATTTTGTTAGTTCTCCTTTGAATTGGTGACAATAGCCTATAAATAATTCATTTTCTCCCATTATCCCAGATGTAAAACACCTGTAAAAACTTAAGCACACAGTATCAAAACTTTGAAATAATCTTTATGTGTTTAGAGGCTTTTCTTTTCAGAAAAGCAACAGGTGAATGATTAGAGCACCTACAAATACTTTTAAAGTCTTTGACAAGGTGATATAGACTTTGCTGTGAAAGCACTTATACTTAATGTTCAACTGAATTAAATATTTACATATATAACTGATATAAGAAATGCATTCATGAAAGTATTTTCTAGAACTAGGTTGTCATTATATTTGGAGAAATGAATAGCATTTCGAATTATCAATGGCAGAGAATAGCTATCCTATAAACAGGACACAGGGACAGGGCCTGCTGCATAGTGACATACAGTGGGTGCCACGTGGATGTTCCCACCTACATAAATGACAAACACCTCTCTGCACATGGAAATTCATCTCCATCCTGCCAATTCCTGCTTTGAGTCCTAAGATGCTGACCTCTGTGGACACTCAGCAGACCTGCTTTCCCAACCCTTCGATTTCCTGCTGAATCTGCTCAGTGGAAGGCACCGCCAGAAAGGAGATGAGACTCAGGGTGTCACAGGCTGCAGGTTGGTGGAGTCCCTGCCTCAGTGCTAGCTGCTTTTGCCAGCCACAAGGGGCGAATAATTGCCACCTGTGATAGCAACCTCTAGCTCTTCTCCATATCTGGTGAGGTCCCACAATCCAGTCTACGCCTTCATAAATAACTTCTTTGCACTCCTTTTAAACACCAATTCTGTATACCTTCTTCTGTAAACCCCTTTGTATGCCGTTCTTTTGCTGCCAAGGCCCTGGCTAGTGTACTGCCTTTGAAAAATAGTCTTCTAGCAAGCCAGATATGTGAGCAAGCCGCATTTCATGCCTGGTGGTGTAATAAGGATAAACCAAAACCACAATGGATGCAGAGATGGATGTTGCTTAGTCACTTATCCAAGATCCATTTTCTTTTTCTTCCTGGAGCGTGAGGTAGCTCTACAAATGCTTGATGTGGTAGAGAATCCACAATCACACTCTGTTTTGTTTGTTTGTTGTTGTTGTTGTTTTGGTTTGGTTTTTGACAATCTATTCACTGCTAATGACTCGATACACCTCTGAAATACTGGATTCCAAGCTACAGGAACCACAGGGAAAACAGCCTCACCCAGTGTCCTTTGAAACCGACAACACTGATGAAAAAAACAAGCAAGAGGGTTGTGGGATTTGATTCAATTAATGAAATTCTCATTGTAAAATGGTTGAAGAATGTGTCACTGTTGGAATGGACCATGAGGCAGTGGAACCACTGGACAAAGATCAACACTGTGCCCACGAGCAAACACAGAGGGACCTGCAATAGTTTCGGTGGTGGTGTGTATGAACATTGGATGGTTTCCAAACTTTCCACTTCTGTTAGGCAAAACAGAGGTATTGACCTTCATTCATGCAAATAATTGACATGTATATTGTCATGCATGGATCATTCACAAATTTGTGAACAAAAATGAGTGTTATTGACCAGGCTATATGGGCAATGAACAAACAGACTCCATTTTACCCTGATACTCCTTTCATATCGTGTAAGAAATGCTCCTCCCAGGGGAAAGCCCGGCCTCTGTACCCACTAATAGTTACCTAGCATAGTATACTTGGCAACACAAATAGTAGTTCTTATACAACGTCAAGTTATTCTCTTTGGTTTCCATTTTTCTTGGGTGATATACCTTGTCAGAGATTGGTTGTCTAGACATAAGTAACCATTCTCTAACTTGTACTCAACTAGGGTCATTTTGACTTACTTCCCTTCTGCTTGCTTGCTGCTATGCCAACTTTGAAAGTCCGGTGGGAAATACCAATGTACCCATTGCATCTTCTCCCTAACTGCTCTGTCCAGCTTCTGAACCTGCTTGCTTGCAGCTATGTCAACCCAGATGTAGTTTTTGCCTTTAAATATCATAAAATGCTCAGGCTTGGGGCTGTTCCTTGCAGAGACAGTTGTAGGTCCTTTAGGGAACAGTCACCGGCTGGCCGGCTAAATAAAGGCTCTTCAATTTGGACAAAACTGGGACATGGTATGTTTTCTGAAGATTCCTGCCCCACAACACAAGAAAGCTCATGTGCATTTGTTGAACTTCAAAAGACACAAGTGCATATGCAGTCAACAATGCAATGAGAAGTCCACCAGGAGGGAGAAAGCATAATATTCTCAGACCTACTATTGTCCAAGATGATACCATATTTGACTTGCCGAGCTACATTATTTTTAAATGGCAAGAAAAGGATGTCAGAACAACCCAAGTTGTGGGAAACCAAAAACACATATTGTCAAAAATGTAGACCTCTATTGAAGTGTTTTGCTCCTTTCCACCAAAAAATAATTGAACAAGTCATGAAGGTCACTTCTTTGTAAATTTCACAATGTGCTGTTATAGGACAGCTTGTATATGTTGTTCCTGTGTCTCATTTGTAGAATTATCTGTATTTCTGATAACAAAAGGCATATAAGCTGCAGATTTTTATTATGATTTCCAATATATTATAATGCATCTATGTCATTGAATTATTCACAGAATTGACAACTTGGAACTTTATGGGTTAATCATTAATTATTGAATTAAATAAAACACAAGTTCATTTGTATTTGTGTGAAAGTGATGATTTTAATAGTATTTCTCCTTTTAATCCACTGCTGCTAAATTCACATGATCTGGTGTCAGAAAAAGTTAAGTTCCCTGTTGGTCTGTTCCTTTTTTAGAATACAACCTTGAATAAATTATTTATGGTAACCTTCAGCTTTTCTGGAAAATGGAGGAGTTACTTAAAATCTAGAGAGATACTAGCACCACACTTAATGTGTAACTGTCACTGGACAGTACTGCCTCACCTTAACCCAGAGCAAAACCCAACCTAACTGTTGACGGGGACTGAATTCCCCACTCTCCAAGTCAAATGTCCCAACTTTCAGCAACAGTAATTGGAGATAAGGTCTTTAAAGAGAGATAAAGTAAAATCAGGGCTATGGGCGGGCCCTATCTCAGACTGATGAGGAGATCAGGACACTGGACACAAGTTTTGGCAGCCCTAGAAAACCAATACAATCTGAGATGGTGAAGCTTAGAGAAAGATACAGAAAATAATCATTGTACAATTTTAGCAGAGAACTCTAACTTCAGATCTTTTAGGAATATAATAAAGTAAAAAATGCAGGCTTGATTTTTTTATGACAATTATCCTATTTTCCCATTTGGGGATAAAAAAAAAATTCCCACATTTAATAAGGCAAAAGACAGGGCCAATGAATGTTACAGATAAATTGATTCGGGTAACATAAAGGGAGTGTAATTGAGTGCATTCTTAGTAAGAAAATGGGCTTTCATTGCACAGGTCCATTTTAAGGAAAAGGAAAAAAAGGGGACGTGGACAGCAGATGGTTCCATTTGTCCCCTGAGCGTAGCATGCTACCCCTGCACCAGCTGCCATTCTGTTCTCCTTCGCTCGGTGCTTGGGCTCGGTGCACAAGCTAGGGAAGTGCTCTGCCCCTGGGCTACACCCCCAGCTCTGCACCGCCACCTCTGCTATCTTGAAGGTGTTTGGCAATGCCACAGTAAAGTCGGCCTTCTCCCTTCTCCACAACTAGTGAGTGCCTTCTGTGTACCAGACACTTTGCTATGCTCTGGAGGTAGCAATAAAATACACAGACTTGTCCAGTCCTGAGTATGCAGTCCTAATGCAGAGTGGGAAGAGTCAGTGCCTTTCCCTGTGTAGACAATGTGGGGAAATGTGATTGAGAGTGGAAAGCCACGTTCAGGCAGCACACAAATGGGGGCCCTTGCCCAGAGACCCAAAAAAAAGGCTGCCTTGGAAGAAATGACATCTTATTTTCCATGAACACTGAAAGATGAGTGTCTGAATCCTGGTGCCAAGGAGGAAGAGGAAATGGCAGGAGCAAAGGCCCAGTGGTGAGAGGAACCTGAAAGGCACTTGAGGACCTGAAGAATGGTTAGTGTAACACAGGGCCATGAGGCACGGTTGGATTTAATATCAAAATCTGCATTTTAAAACAAACTAATGTTTTGAGACTGTCCGCCGGCCACGGGGGATGCGGACGCACAAAACGGAGGCCGGCTGACCCCGACGTGATTTGAACACGCAACCTTCTGATCTGGAGTCAGACGCGCTACCGTTGCGCCACGAGGTC